CTATAGTGAGAGACGAACTTTGTTCACCTGCATTGTGATGATCCATTTTTTTGACTTGGACCAATTGTAGGGATTTTCTGGGTCATTCTCAATCCAGTCCACGAGATAAGGAGAATACGAAGTCCCCTCTCCAGAGTAAGTTTTGGCAGGTTGTGGAAGAGGCTTGTCGGAGAGTATATACAAATTCCTAGATTCAACAGCGACAGTGTGGCTGGAAGAGGATCGTGGCCCATGTTGTTGATCTATACTATTACCCTGGACGGAGGACATAGTGGTGAGAAGACAAAATATGATAATTTAAATCTCAAGATTGTTGTCAAGACCGATAGAAGCCAAATTTCCCATTCCCATAAGAGTAAGATGAGTGCATAGTAAGTACATGATCATCTCAAGTGGAGAACATGGACATAAGCGGACATGATTACATAATGGCTGTGGTATTTGTATCTATTTTGGTGTCACTTGATCAGTGTTCTTCGGGGCAGCCCTCCCAGCGCAAACCTTCGTCCGTCGTCCTCTCAGTCCCCATCATCGTCTGCCTCGTCCACCACGCCTCTTTCAGCAACGTCCTCGACATATCTCTCTTCATTCTTCTCATCCTTTTTTCAATTCTGCTAATCGCCTATCTTGGTCTTCCACATTCCATTTTCAATTACACAAATAAATTCTTTATTCTTTCTTCATTATCCACCACACTATAAACTCCCTTTTATCCTTTATCCATGTCAATTCACGGTCCAATAAATGGTGTCAAGATCTCAGGTCAGTTTTTCTACTTTTCCTATCTCATGTCGCTTACCCCGCACTGACCCGCTCTTCTCCAATCGCTTATCCCATCTTACCACCCTATCCTTCGTCTCGCGTTATCCTCTTCCCATATTTACATTTTCTTTTCTCTCAATCGCTCTCGATCGATTCACCTGGCTCATCCTTGTCGTCTGCTTAGCAATAGATGACCCTCACAAGGTTGTCAAAGTTATTGCTTCAGATGGCAAGTCTGCAGAGACCCGGGAGCTCTCGTATACGAACTGCAAAGTGATTGGAAATGGATCTTTTGGTGTCGTTTTCCAAGCACGGCTTGTGGGGTCGTCCAAGGAAAACGAGGACATCGCAATCAAGAAGGTTTTGCAGGACAAACGGTTCAAGGTTCGCCTTGTTTTCCATTCACCTCACCTTTCTTTTTAATCTCCCATATGGCCTAAATTTTTATTCTTTTTTTATTCTTTTTTTAGAACCGCGAACTGCAGATCATGAGGCTCGTGTCTCATCCTAACGTAGTTGACCTAAAGGCATTTTTTTATTCTAACGGGGACAAGGTACCGTTCACCGCCTCTGTTTTCTTCACCGAGTACAGTAATTAACATCTCAAGTCCAGAAGGATGAAGTTTATCTCAATCTCGTCCTCGAATACGTTCCAGAAACGGTCTATCGCGCTAGTCGTCACTATGCAAAGCTCAAACAGCCCATGCCCATGCTCCAAATCAAGCTCTACATGTACCAGTTGTTGCGTTCTCTGGCTTACATTCACTCTGTTGGCATTTGCCACCGAGACATTAAACCGCAGAATCTGCTCCTTAACCCCGCTACAGGCGTGCTCAAGCTTTGCGACTTTGGTTCAGCAAAGATACTCGTAGCTGGAGAACCCAATGTTTCATACATTTGCTCCAGGTACTACCGTGCCCCTGAGCTTATTTTCGGTGCCACAAACTACACAACCAACATTGGTGCGTGCGTGACTGCATTTACAACATCACATACTAAAACTGCGGAACTCTATAGATATATGGTCAACGGGATGCGTCATGGCAGAATTGATGCTTGGTCAACCTCTTTTCCCTGGAGAGAGTGGCATCGATCAGTTGGTAGAGATTATCAAAGTCCTTGGAACTCCCTCGAGAGAACAGATCAAGACGATGAATCCCAACTACATGGAACACAAGTTCCCGCAAATTAAGCCTCACCCTTTCTCCAAAGTAGGCGTACTTTGATTTTTGAATTGAAAGTGGAGCTTACCCGAGTTCGTAATCACACAAGGTTTTCCGACCCCGCACGGCGCCAGAGGCAATAGACTTGGTGTCGAAGCTGCTGGAATATACGCCAGGGGCACGATTGAGTGCAGTGGAGGCGATGGTACACCCATTCTTTGATGAGCTGAGGGTTGAGGGACAACGGATGCCCAACGGAAAAGAGTTTCCAAGGCTGTTTGACTTTGCTCGGGAGGGTGAGTGACAAGTCGTGTGCGATGATGAACTGAAATGAACCTTTTTGAACAGAGCTATCTGTACGCCCAGACTTGATCCGGCAGCTTGTTCCGCCGCACTGCGAACCGGAGCTGGCCTCGCGGGGAATTGTGTTGGATAATTTTGTGCCCATACCTGTCGAGCAACTCAAGATTTCGCTGGACTGAGGAGACAGATTGAAATCGATGTCGTGATTTTTGTTACTCTACTTACCTTTACCTACATACAACAACCGCCATGAGAAGATCTTGAATTGAAATTTGTGTACTACGCTACGACATGATGATCAAGGAATTGCGTGCTTGTTTATGTCTATATAATTTTTTTTTAGTTCAAAATAAATGATTACGCCATGTGGCGCGAGATTTGGACAAGTCGACGACTAGACGTTTTGACATCCACAACGTTGAGGATTTTATACCATGCATCGTCCTTATCCCAATACCATCATGTCTGCTGCTAATCCACCAGAGTCCTACGTCTGCGACACTCTTCCCGCTCCCAAGCTAGCTACAGAGCACGACGTCCAACCACCTACACCCGTCGTACGCAACGATAAACCCCCTCCGGAGGTCGTTCCTTTACATACTACCCCACGCAAACTGTGTTTTCGTCACCAGCGCATGGCAGATGAGGGTACAAATCTCAAGCTCCAACAGGTCTCGTTTTCTCTTTAACATCCTCAATGACTCACAGTCTCACGATATTTATCTTGCAGTCCCTGGACGCAATGCCCCTCGAGGAAAGACAGGCTGTTAACGCCATTTGGTCCAACTTTTCCTCGTCTTCGCACCCCCGTCGTGCTCTCATTCTTCAGGGTCTCCTTACAATGTGTTGCTTCTCTCAATTGTCTCTTCTCACAGAGCATCTCGCCCATCTAATACGCATCGACCCCTTTGCATGTTTTCCCCGAGAAGTTTCTCTCAAGATTCTTGGCTACCTTGATGCTACATCTTTGTGTCGAGCAGCTCAAGTTGCCAGGCACTGGAAGGCGCTCGCAGATGACGATGTTCTTTGGCGTGGCATCTGCGAGCAGCACATCGGTCAAAAGTGTGCCAAGTGTGGTTGGGGCCTCCCTATACTTGAAAACAAGCGTACCTATAGGACTCGTTCCGTATCACCACCTCTTGAACGCCCCTTATCTTCGGCCCTCAAAAGAGCGAATCCCGAAGTTTTGGACTCCGGTCCACCCCTCAAACGACAGAGATCGAACAATGACGGTCCGCAATCGCCACCTTTGACAATGCACAATATCTCAACATCATACGATGCTGATCCAACGTGTCCCAACACCCTCCTTGCTCCCAACACATCCTCAGACGGGAACAATTCGGTGACACGGCCTTGGAAAGATGTATATAGCGAACGCATGACGATTGAACGTAATTGGCGCCGTGGTCGATGTACAGTACGCACCCTCAAAGGTCATACTGATGGAGTCATGTGTCTTCAATTCAATGAAAACCTCTCTTATCCCTCCTTCCCTGTCCTTATCACCGGCTCATACGATCGCACCGTTCGGGTTTGGAACATGGAGGCTGGTGTGGAGCTTCATACCCTCAAAGGCCATACCCGTGCCGTCCGTGCACTCCAGTTTGACGATATCAAACTCATTACTGGGGCCATGGACCATACTTTGAAAGTGTGGGACTGGCGCCGTGGCAGATGCATTCGTACATTGACGGGCCACACTGATGGTGTCGTTTGCCTCAACTTCGACTCGAATGTATTGGCTAGCGGCAGTGTTGATCAAACTATCAAAGTTTGGAATCTTCGAACGGGAGGTGCTTTTACGCTGAGGGGACACAGTGACTGGGTCAATGCCGTTCAGCTATGGGATTCTAACCCCGGTGCCCGTACCGAGCAATCAAATCTGTCCCTGTTCGACGTATCGCCAGGTGGTTGTCTGTCTCCCCGCGGCAATACGTGCTCAGGGAGCGAGATCGACGTCGGAAAGATGTTGTTTTCTGCATCCGATGACGGAACTATCAAATTGTGGGACTTGACATCGCGGACGTGCCTTCGGACGATGTCGGGCCATATGGGACAAGTGCAAAGCATGAAATTGCTGACAGCAAGTGATTGTGATACTGCCGATGAACCTTCGGCTGAGGGCACAACAACATCTAGCTCTGAATCCAACGAACCAACATCGGCCACGACACCAGATACCGCTGATCAAACGTCTGAGAAGCTCTCTACAGTTTCACCACCTCAAACAACACTCTTTTCCAACCGAAAAAAACCTGTCCTCATCTCCGGAAGCCTGGACAACACTATTAGGCTATGGGATATCGATACAGGAAAATGCGTTCGGACTTTATTTGGTCACATCGAGGGTGTTTGGGCGGTTGCAAGTGATAAAATGCGCTTGGTGAGCGGAAGTCATGATCGTACCATCAAGGTTTGTAACATCCTATTTCTAATGCAAAATTCGAGTGTTGATTGACCTTCAGGTGTGGTCGCGTGAGGAAGGGAAGTGTACGGCAACTTTGGTTGGTCATAAGGCTGCAGTTAGTTGTCTGGCTCTTGGAGAGGACAAGATCGTTTCAGGTGGTGACGATTCCGACATCAAGATCTGGAGTTTTAGTGGATGAAAGGACTTTCTTCTGGCAATTTATTTTCATTGTTGTTTGAATATCTTTATTCTTGTGTTAGTATCTTGTACATATCATCTAGAGATACCCATCATAATTGCCTTACTGTTAAATAGGTATTTGGGAATGAGACTCTTATTGGTCGATCAGGCAATTCTCACCAGGTAACATGGCCGAGTTGGTCTAAGGCGTTGGATTTAAGTTTCCGCTTGATTCCCAATGGGTGCAAACCCGCGTGAGTTCGAACCTCACTGTTACCATTCTTTTTTCGATTCTGTCCCTACATAGCCTTATTAGAGCTCGATTCGCTTGTGCATTTTGTATGTAGTGTTTCGAGTCCAGGGAGTGTGCTCTGAGCCGCTCAGATCATCTTTCGAATATTGAACTCAGAGACTCAAGCACCCACCTCCTTATTCTCAGCAGCTATTTACAATTATTTAAAAAGGGATCGTTTAGCGGATTCGGAATTTTCACTAGAGGATATACATTTGTATGCCTAATAATGTTGGACAAAGGGTTTGGCTTTCTTGCTCATTAGAAGAGCTAAATTATTGTTAGGCATTGATAAGAAGTCAAAATCAACGATCGATACATACACCATTGATGTTATCCTGGCCCCCAGGGCCTTGTCGAACCCTATCATCAGCATGGGTGAGCGTAAGAAACGAGTACTTAGAGTTGTTGGATACCTTCGAGTGGGTTTGAATTCCTCGGTATCGGGCGCATCCCAAAGGTTTGCCATGCTGCTGTGACCCCCTGGGGCGGTACGCACACGCCTATTCAGAGATGGTGCACTCAGCCTAAAACAGAAGAAGGGGGGGGGGGGGGGGGGGGGACACAAAAAAAAGAGAAGAAAAGAAGAGAGTATATAATAGACAGGAACAGCGTCTTGCAGCGAAAGAGTGTAGATGTAGGGGG